TCTGATCTCAGAGCCAACCCTGCTGTGAGCAGGGGCCTGGACTGGAAACCTCCTCTGAGGAGGAGGCCTCCTTACAACCTGAATGATTCTGTGATCCCAAGGAAGCAAATCCTCTGTTCAAGAGTCCCCAGGTTCTCCAAAGTTTCTGCTAAAAACACCTGGTGAAACCAGATGACTAAAAGCAATTCTTTTTCTTAACAACAATGTAAGAGTTTGCAAGTCTCCTATGGCTTACTTCCCACACCAAACAGGGATAAACTGAAAATTCCTTGTAACTGGATAGAAATATTCACTCTAGAAATCTGTCAAACATCAGATGAAATACTAGCAGTCTGGTAATACACAGGAGATGACTTTACTACTAGCAAATTAATTACAGGATCAATTTTGATACCAAATGATATTTAGAAGTCTGTAATTCTTTCCTTAAATAAAAGACCATGAATCATTTTGGAATTAGTTACCACACAAATTCAAATGTCACTCCTGCAAATTAATGGCCGTGATTAAACTGATGTGACTGTTGACTTCGAAATCTCATTTCAGTAGAGCTTATTCCAGCTAAGATTTGTCCTAGGATTCCAAATGATGCTTAATAAATTAAGGGGCATATACCAACCCACATATTTATCACCCACTGAAAAATGCAAACATTCAAAGAACAGACTGTTATATATCTTTACTTGCATTAAATAGCAGATGAAAAATGAACCAAGATGGCTTAACATTCAGTAGCCATCACACCTACTTAGCCTTTGCACATCATAAAGTAAACCCCTTAACATAAACTTCTCTCTGTCTTACAGGTATATGCCTAACACTTTTTTGGATTTTCTCCCTGAAAAATTTTAGAATCCTTTCCTTCCCATGCAACTTTTTTCAATGGCAAACCTAATTTCCAGATTGTCACTGTGGTTTAGGTGGCACCCTACAGCTCTCTCCTGTTGATGTTCTCTCATTTGAGCACTTCTCCAACGCATCCGCTTGGCTGTGATCCATAAGATCCTGGGATCTCAGAGAAAGATCTGAGATTCTAGTAGCTCCCATTCAGCCACAGAACAGAAGAAAATGCCTTCCTAAAGCTCACTAGCTACTGGAACAAGTTTGTGACAAACTCTAGCATTCCTCCTATGTACTGGCTAAGAAGCTTTGATTTCATAATTGTAATCCACCAAAAATGTTTGTTAGTGCTCAGTCAGGTTTCTGAAAAGAAAAGAATTAGATTTGGCAAATTCACAATTATTAACTACGGAAATTGTGAAGAAGATATGCTTATGCACATGCAGGTTATGCTAACAAGTCCATTAATGCATATATCTTGACAATACATGTAAGTAAATATAATCAAAAGAAGAGACTGGTGGATCAGAGGAAAACAAGCTGAATATAAAATTACAAAATGTTTTCAGAGTAGTTTCGTCTATGACACCACTTGCCTCTTGCTAGTTAAGTATCATGTCTCTGAGAATCCAGTATTATATGTGTCCAGAATAACCACATCCAACTAGGACAAAATGCTTTGTGCACACTACTGCACAGAACGAAAACAGAATGAGCTAGTTGTCATAACCAGCAATTCCACAGAATTTGTAGCAGTCACATACTTTTTGATAAAGCTGGTAAGCAAGGATCTTAAAAATGACTAATTTTCAAAGACTCAAATCCAGCATTAAAACTTAATGCAAATGTCAGCTTTGGCCTAAGTAGCAATGTGAGGCTAAAGAGATTACATACCTACAATGAGTTCCTACAGGATGCAGAGCAATTTGGTTCCAATCCAGTGAAGTACTCAAGTTCATGCTTAACTTCAAATGCATGGGCATGAAGATGATGGAACTGCTTATATGCCTAATGTTAAATATGCCCTTAAGTGCTTTACTGGGTTAGGGCCAGAAAGCTCAGTACCTTACAGGAATGAGCTTAGAGTAGAACATGCAGCAGTAGCATAGCAGGGAATTCAGGACCACAAATACCTTGGGCTAAGTCCCTCTTGAAGTGTACTATTGAGAAGCACAGTGCCAACACAGTGTAAATACAAGCAGCTGTGTGAGTGGAGACAGGTAAGAGGATATCTTGACTAAAGGTAATCAGAATAACTACAGAAATTTTAAGAATTACAAGATCAGAAGGAGAACAAACTGCGACTACTTCCTAACGTACACTCTAACTATAAATTTTATTCCTGCAGTGAAAAAAAAAAATGTATTTTCAATTCCTACATAAACTGACTGTGCCCATGATCCATGTACTTCATCACATCACATCACATCACACCTCAGCTCCAGAATTCAAGTGTACCCAGCAAAGAGGACTAAGACCCACAGCACCCTACAACACATGGCATCTGTAATGTAAAAGTCAGGCTAACATTCAGCATGGTCCACCCACCACAAACACCGTACAAGTCTTGCACTTCAGGTAACCATAACACTGCAACACATTCATTTGCTCAGTACCAACACTGTCTTTAAAAGACTGGACTTTAAAGCAGATGCTAAGTACTGTTGCTCGCTGCCATTCCTACACATTGTACTACAATGCACTTGTGACATCTCCATGCTACGAGGCACTCCTTTCCGGCCAGAATCACTGCAAGCTATTGCACATCCTTCTCCTACAAGCTGCGCACTGATGGACGCGCTGCACACCATCTTCCTGCCAGTTCTGAAGCCTGTGCGCTTCTGAGTCCAAGAAGTGCATGTTCCACATTTGCAGGGACTCCCATGATTTGGTGAGAGACAGTAGAAGGATCCGGTCTAAAACAACCCAGAAGCAGCAGCATATGGGCCTGTCATCTCCAAACCTACTCTGCAACGGCATAGCCTAACCTTCTGTAGTAGGGAAAAAAAAAACAAACCACGCTGAACTACGTGCATTTATTTCTATGTTTATACACCATAAGCACATATAATTAGCTAAAAAAGGGAGCCTAATTAGCTATGTAATGTTACAGGTCATATTACTAAACAAGACCCAGATGTCCTGCTATCTCACAAAATATTAAAATACCACTTTCCTATCAGTGGTAGACTGTAGTCACTCTGCCAAAATACGATTAATAACATCACCATAGTTAGGGACATAAAGTTAAGCAAAACAATCCTTTTAATAATTTTTCATGTTGGGAATTCTTCAGCATTGTACCCAAATATAATGTACATTTCCAGGAGGGTCGAGCCTTTTAGCACATGAAAGTAACTCTGGAGTCACAGAAGTCTCTGACCTGAATCTGACCAACCCTTAAAAAAGTGGATCATTGATTTTTCATATTCAGGCACTAGGAGGCAATGGCGTCGGGGAACTGAGAGTAGCACCAGTCAGACTACCTCACCTTACCTGCATTATGTCACTCTATGAAATCCATGAGACTTCTGGAATTTCTAGCATGGAAAGTGGCTTTGGAAAGTGTTTATAAAGGATCTGCTGCCCAGGGAGGTTTCTTTTTTTTTTTTTTTCTTGTCTTGTTTTGCAGGCTCAGAAAGCACCTCACAAAGAAACTTCCATGAATAATTAGGAACAAAGAATACAAATTAAAAACCCAACTAGCAAACAGGTATTTTGGGGTGAGGATGAAATTTCAAATTCATTCACGAAGTTTGCCTTGTGAGGGCACAATAATCATGCAATAAGCTACAAACTGGCACTAGAAATCAGAAGATTGGCTCCGGCTCTGTTGCGAGAGTTTCACTATTTACTTCAGTACAGTTGTTTCACACACATATGGGGTTCTCATTCATAACTACATCCTCTAACACTGACAATAGTCTTGCAGATCAACAAGGAGATGAGCAGATTGAATCAGATGTGCCCTCCTATAGTTTGTATTTGGAAGAGTCTCGGCACTGCACCCTGCTACAGGCTCGATTTGGGAAACCAAGGAGCAACAGTAAATCGACCGCACTTCTTTCAAGGAGCTTCCAACAAACTCCCAAAGTAACACAGCAAAGATTCATGGGTTAATCTGCAAAGTCTCTGGATGGTGAGAGAACTGAAAAAGGTCAGGCCTTGCTTTACAGTGGCTTGCCTGATCCCCTATAGTTCTCCCTGATACTTTGAGTGTTCCTTTTGCCACAGTTCTGAAAAGACTTCCTGAGTGTGACTTGAAAGCATGGAGGGGCCTTGCAAAAAACGCACCTTCTTCACGAGTTACATTTTAAGCTTCTTGAATTTATTTTCAGTTCATTTCTTTACTAGCTACCAAGGCCACAGCAAAGCTGGTAGCCTTGCCCATCCTGCCCTCCATGTGCCCAGCTCACCTTCAAAAGGAGGAAGGAGCTGAAGAGAGAGTGTTACAGAAGTAGGTGACCAGGGGATCTCCATGGGATACCACTGCCTGTGAAAATGTAACCACTGCAACAACAAAAACATATTGCTGTCTGCTGCACATACGGGTTTAGGGGGGTGGCTGTGAGCCCTCTCGAGCAAGGCTAATCCTGGGAGGTTTGGGAAACACCTACCACCAAACAAGCAACCATAAATAACTAGTGAGCAATGGGGATAACCACGCACACAGCCCAGTGCACAGGAGTCAGTCTGATGGGCTTTTTTTCAGTTCTGTTGTAGCTGCAATGACATGAGATGTGAATGCACAGAATAAGATAGGAGATGCTTTATCTAGGTTGTATGGAAAATACAATGAAGTACAACTAATCCTTGGCAGAAAAGGGTGCCCTGAGTGAGGAGCCCGAGATCAGGCCTGACCCAGGATGCCCTTAGGTGTCCCCTCAGATACATCTTTCCCGAGAGGTAGACGGGAAGGACACTGCAGGATCTGGTAAGGGATCAGCTTTTTAGAAACAGAAAGAGCTGGAGAAATCATCAGGGATGATGGAGCCAGGGCTGGTGAGCAAAGCCTGGCACAGCTCTGAAGTTCCCGATGAACTTCACATGCCTTCAGGTCAGGGACACCCCACAAGTCATGCACAGCAATACCAGCCACAACAACAGTGTCAACAACGGTGTACAGGAGGAAAGCTTAGCAAAACGATGCCCAGACTTACACAGCTCTTCCCGTTCATGATGAAGTGCGTGGACGCACAGGCTTGCTCCTTCATCTCCTCCATCCCAAAGATGCAGATGGCGGTGGCATTCCAGGCCTTGGCGCTGTGGCTGTGGTTGAAAACGCCCACCCACCAGCCCCGCTCACCCTGGCGGACGAGGCTGGAGGACACGATGAGGCTCCTGCACCCGCAGTCCAAATACACGTGCCCTTTCAAAGTAAGGCCACCCTCCGAGGGGTGCAGCTGGTGCAGGACAGCCATGCTCGGTGGCTCCATGTTGTTCCCCAACCTGGCCTTCAACGTGTAGTAGGGAAAAAAGAGGTGATCCCCCCACTGGAGCGCGTCCACAAAGTGCAAAGGCTCCTGCTTGCGCTTGATGATGCCCAGCTCCTCCTTGGACTCCAGGTTGTCCATGCTGCGCACTGTGATGACGGTTGTCTCATCCGACTGCGAGGGCTCGCAGCCCAGGCGTTTCTTGGGGTCGCTGGCCGAGTAGGTGGCCGCCACAGCCAGGTACCAGGCGCTGGCCAGCTGGAAGACGACGCCGGCGGTGGAACCGTCGGGCAGGCAGATGACCACCTCGCTGCGGTTAAAGCGCTGCCGGTAGGCCGGCCGCTCCCACACCTCGCAGGTGCCGTCCTTCTGGGTCCAGCCCGCCAGCAGGACGCCCTTCCCTCCGGCCTCCTCGTAGGGCAGCAGCAGGTTGCTGCGCACCCCGGGGGGCTCCCCGCAGCCCTGCCCC